GTTTAGCAAGACCAACTATTACACTTTATTTTTGAAACTTCTTTGTGTTCCACAGAGTTATGTTTTAAGTTACGTAAAACATAAATTGACCTCCTCCCAAAGCAGGGAGGTTTAAACTGCACATCACTAAGAAACACTGTCTAATAATTTGTTTTCTTAACTCAGGAAGTGTGCTTTAGTTTATTCTCTTTCTTGGAACTCTTGAAGGAGTCAGGACCATTTCCATGCAAATAGCCTGATGTTTTCCCTTTTCTTAGGATTGAGTACGGTATATGAAAAAGAAAAGGGAAGAGACTCAATGAGCTGATACATAGGTTCACATTGCCTCTGGTTGGAAATGGCATGTATGCTTTTAAGTTATTTCCAATTCTCTCACTCCATTATTCAATACATATTTACTGAATGCAAGCTATAAATAAGACAATGTGCTCAGGGCTAGGGTCATAAAAATGAACAAAGGAAGATTTTGTCTTCTAAGAGATCACAGACTAGTGGAAAAAACAAAATGGATAACTGAACGGGTGATTAGTAATAGTCAATTTTATTACTTTTTATAATTTTTTCTGTATTAATAATTATTACCATATATAGGGCATCTATCTGGTATTTTACAGTTATTACACCATTTATACCCTCAAAGTATTATTCTCATTTTCAGAACAGTGGGAACCAAGGCTTAGAGAGCATATACCACAGACCTGGCAAGGGCGAAGTCAGGATTTGAACCCTTTCTGTGTGATTTCCGTGTCCATGATCTTTCAACCAGAGTCCTCGACTGTGTACTTTAACCAAGCTTCCCAGCTACGATGCCAATATTTAACTTTATAAACCATGTCCAAGGTAAAACAAACAAACAAACAAACAAACAAAAAACCTTCAAAGGAGCTTGTAGTTCATTCTCCTTTGTTTTGGTAATTTTTATTTTACATTTTTAAAACTGACAAATAATCACCGAATGCACAGAGGGAAAAGGTCGATTTGTGTTAATCATGTGTTTTCATTTAGGATTTCCACGTTAGGAGAAAATGGTGGTTGGGAGCAGCACACATGTGATGGTTTTGCCACATAATGTCACATGCTGAATTCGTGTTCTGCTGGGGAACCTCAGCTGCTCTTTGCTTCCTGCTTAGTGGAGTCATGCAAAGCCTTTCTTTATCCCAATTCCAACTTCATGGCAGTTAGAATAGATGGTTGGCTAGGGCACTAAGAGCCTTGTGTGCTGTTCAGTGCTACAATTGTGTCTTGGCTCTCTACTATGTTAAGGGACTGGGTGAGGTTCTGGGGGCGGGCGGGCTACGTTTTTGGTCCCTTGCTATTCTATTGCTTGTTTTCTGGGTCGCAAGGAGGAAGACCTTCTGGTGACTAGGGGCGCAGCTAAGAGAAGCTAAGAGAAGTCAGAGTACAATGTTATATGAAAGTGACCTGCAACAATTCCAAAGGAATATTATTGGCAAGGGGAAGCCGACTTCCTGGTAGAAAAATGAAGAAAAGAAGCTAAACTTACTGACCCTACTATTCAGGTTTTATTTACCTATGCAATATTGTTTACTCCTCAATATAACAATATGATAGATGTGTATTTTTTTATATATTTTTTTGTTTAAAAAAGAATGCATAGGGAATGCAGTTAGCATTAATATGATGGCTAGGTGGAGGGCCAGGGGAGGGAGGGAGCAAATGGGGGGATTGTTTTATGAACCGTGTAGATGTCTAACCAATGTACTGTATACTTGAAACTAATTTAAATAAATAAATAAATACATACATACATAAGTAAATAAAAAGAAACAGTTGCCTACCTAAAAAAAAAAGAATGCAAGTATAACTAAAAGTTAAAATCATGTTAGAGTACAGACACTGTAACTCTCATTCTCAGTTTCCATCCCCAAGAGCAACCAGAGTAGGTGGTTTCTTCTCTTTTTCCAGTAATATTCTAATTAAACGTATGTGCATTTCTTTGTGAATTCATCCTTTAATTTTATACAAATGGGAGTACACTAAATACCCTGTTCTGAACCTGACAGTTTTCATTTAACAACATATCCCAAATTAGTTTTCATGACAGTAGGTACATATGGTTTTCCCTCTTTTTTTTTTAATGACTATATAGTTTTCAATATATATGTTGGAGTTTTGAGAGTATCCAATAAATAGTACTTCTCTTCCCCTGCCCCCTGCTCCCAGGTTCTGAACACTTTGAGAACGAAACAAATAGATGGCATACGGAGGCCACAAATTTAATTTTATTGCAGATATAGGCCAGACCAGGGGCTGGGGTTTCATATGACTTGTCAGGCGGGCTTGTTAATTCTGAACCTGCATATGTAGAACCCATCTGTGTAGCCTAACACAGTTCCCAAAATGAAAAGGGTGAAGCTGAGCCAAGACCTACCACTCAGATATGTTATGCCACCTTCCCAGGGGTAGAGTGACTTAAAGGCAGAAGGGAGGCATTTTGGATGCACCCAAAAAACAAAAAACAAAAAACAAAAACCCTTTCCATGGAAACCAAGAGTGGGGAGAAGGCAGTTTTCTCTGATGGCATGAGCTAAGCATCCTTAATTTTGCTAGTCTCTTACTGATGGATGTTTAAGTTATTTCCATTCCTGTGAAAAACTGCTATTGGGCATACATGTTTTTCTCCTTTTACACTAAAGGAAACAGATTCCAGGAGTTTATATGTTTAAGGTGAGAGCTAGTGAGAGGCAGAGCCAGAACTCTGACTCACGTCTGACTTCACGTCCAGGGCTCTTTCTATTTTCACAGACCTTATTCCTCACCCAATTACTAACAGCTGTATGAAAAATCAGTGACAGTCTGAGCCAGTTTTAGTTAAATCCTCTTATTAGTTTCTCACAATCCTCATGTGAGGGGGGTGAGGCAGGAATTATTTTCCCCATTTTATAAAAAAATAAACTAAGTTGCAGAGAAGTGGTTACTTTCTTACCTGGCATCACTAGTTGATGGTGAGGAGACTCAACCTCCATTTTTCTTGCTTCAGATCCTTCTCCTCCATCTCTGAGAGCCTGAAAGCAAGCAGAAAAGTATGGAGTGCAGACCAAGGGTTTGGGAGTGGGTCGGGGAGCAGTGTTACCGAACACATGATGGTGAGAAAAGGCAGTATTTGCTCCAAGAGCAACAAAAGGTGTCCCTTCAATGTGTAGATTATGTCATTCCTAGGCAGGCCTGTGTGCGATCTGTGTCAGATTGCCTGGGAAATATTAAAAAACAAATTTATATGCCCAACTCAGACCTACTAGCTATAAGGGAATGCAATCAGGTAGAGTCTACACTTTTAACAAGATACCTAGATATTCCAATGAAAGGCAGTCTGTGAATCAGGGATAGGAGAAACCCTGGCTTGGAAAATTTTTGAAAATATTAAGTTTTTTGGTATACAGTAAATCACTCATAATCAGAATTGTTTCTTGAGGCAGTGTGTTATTGTGGAAAGAACATGAGCTTTGGGGTTAGCTAACCTTAAACTGATTCCTCATTCCACCATTTATTAGCTGGGTCAGCTGGGGGAGTACTGACCCTAATTAATCTCAGTTGGCTCCTGTACAGCACAATCCGTTATGAGGATTAAATGAGATGATATATAGAAGAGCTTGCTCTTTCAATCCTCTGTAAATGTCACGTCCTCTCCATTTCTTCTGCTATGTTTTCAAAAATTTTCCCCATCTGTTGAAATTTTCTCCACCTGTGACTTCTCTGAAAAGCAGACTCGGTCTCCTTTATCTTCCCATTTCTATTGCTTAAAGTCTCTGCTACAGTAAAGAGCACAGATGTCCAACAGGGCAGGGTTTGCCTTAATCAGGCTGCTACATGGACAGGCCTTGTTACTCTACTTGTTCTGTAAGATCCATGGGAGGAGATGAGCAAAGCACAATTACTATGTCCCTCCTCCGAGGACTTGTGCATGATTCGTTAACAAAATGTCACACTAAAATGTTTTGCATTGAAACGGGATTTTGCTTGTATTCCCTAAATGTCTTGGAATGAACTCGAGCTGCTGTAGGAAAGCTTTGTAGGTAGGCCCTTCTTATTTCCCCCGTTACCTCTATTCTCTCCATCTTCAGAATAGACTGAAGATAAAAGAGAAAAGTAAAAATTTTGTATATCTTAGTAGTTTTAGGATGGCATCAGGGGAACTGTTTGAGAGATGACACAACCTGCTGATGGTGAGATGTTCTACAAATATATTCTTTAACTGACAGAAAAGCAGGATACATGAATTGCTAGAGACAGATATTCTTAGGGAAACAATGTGAAGAAATATTTAAAAATCACAATTACACTAGATATATAGTTCTAAAACCTATTGATGTGAAATTATACTTTCAATTTTGTAAATTTCAATATACGATTGACCTGAATTTTTATCTTATAGAAAATAATCCACTCACCATGAACAATCATTTTAAAAGAAAAAAATAACAGAGAAAATACACTTATAAAAATTACCTTTTTCTTATAACAAGAGTAATACACATTTGCACTTAACTATTGAGAAAATATGAAGAAAAAGAGGAAGTAAAAAGCATAGTTTCCAGAGATAATCACTGCGTGCATTTGCAAGTCTATCTATCCTCTCTTTTCTCTATTCATTGAGCCAAACGGCAGGGAATCAAAGATAGAATCATAATGTACATACTTTTCTTCTGCTTAAAAATATGGCATACACCAGTGCTTCTCAAAATTTAATGTGCATAAAAATCACTTGGGGACTTTGGTGCAATGCAGATTCTGCTTCTGTAGGTCTGGGATGGGGCCTGAGAATCTGCATGTCTAAGAAGCTCCCAGAAAATGTTCATGCTGCCATTCTAGGGAGCACACTTGGGAAAGGAGCAAGTGTGTGCACCATTCTGTGTCATTACTGATTCCTTATCAATATATTTTTTAATCACTGCAAGCATTCCATTATTGCATGTATGTAACTCGACAATGCTATATCATTGGCTAGTTAGATTTATTCCTTTATTTTTATTATATTATAGGAGATTCTATGATGAACCTTCGTGGAGAGAAATCAACACACGTCCATAAAAATTTCTTTAAGGTAATTTCCTTGAAATAGAAGTGCTTCATCAAAATCATTTAAAACTTTTAAGGTATCTAATACATGTTGCCAACTAGCTGTCAGGGGAAAAATGCAGTTTTGAAAAGTACATGTTAACTAATTAGTTATATTACCCTGACCTGCAATTTTTTTTCAGCTCGTCACCTTATTCTTTCTCTAGGGAGAAGTTGTTCCCGTCTCCATGGTAACCCCACCGCTTTCTCTTACATCTTTCTCAGTATTCTATTACTGGTGTTTGCTGACAAGGGTGTCTGCCGGGAGCTGGGCATGTATTAGCCTCAGTGCTGAGCTCAGTGGCAGACACTCAAGAAATGACAGAAGAGTAGAGAGTGAAATGAAAGCATATGTCTTTCAAGATATAAATACTTCTTAAGGCATTATAGTGGGCACTATCACTCTCTAACATATCAGATACTCTGACCACTCCTTGAAACACACACATGAAAAATTATTTGCTGCTTCTTATGGAAAATCACCCACGATCATGTTTAGTGTTAAAATATTTCCTTTTATAAAGCAGCTTGTGTTTGTGCATAGCTGGTTACAGTTTCAAAATTATGTGTACCACAACCTGTGGGCTGTTATTACTTTTCTTGGGGCGTTATTAATAATAGCATTATGTAATAATGCAATGATAATATTTTGACATATTATTGCTCATGATAGAATAATGCTCGTATTAGTAGTTTGCAAATGTATCCCACATAGATTGTGTCCTTATAATTGTTCATTATGAATTTTTGCATCGTTATTAAATTTTTAAAATGTTGAAGTAAAGATTATTTATCTTGATTATTGAGTTTTTTCACACTTCAATAACTTTGCACCCAAAATGGGTACCTCACTTGCTAACCCTAGTTCTGGCTCTAGAGGTTAACTATAACTTCTTAAGATTATTGAGCAGGCAATTGAAATTTATAATGTAAATTTTGCATATGTTCAAGTATTATTATTTAATCAAATCACATATGTGTGATTTATCACTTGTGTTTTTAATTATTTTTCTTCTAGGTGTTCATATTTTATCAGGCACCTATTCAAATCACTGTACCTTCGGGCGTGGCTGGAATTGCTGTTTGCTTTCTGCAAGAAACAAAAGGGAACAGTTTTGAAACAGAGCCATTTATACTAGTATTTACCTTTATCAATTCAGGTTTCTTTCTTTTGTCCAATTACTGACTCAAGAAATATTTTTTGACTCCTGTTGTCTGATAGGAACTGTGATAGCTAAGTGCTATGTATGAAAAAAAAAATTAGTAAAATGTGATGTTTACCTTCAAGTTGCTTCGTATTTCAGAATGAAGGTAGTCAGTCCTACTAAGATAAAATTAAATTCAGAGTTTAAATGGGAGCAGAAAGGAAAAATTGGGACACCTGGAATGCAGGGAAGATGTCTCAGTCATGCTAAGTTGAGTCTTCCAGAACAAGTGGGTTTTGTGCATCTGTTACATCTCTCTCTCTCTCTCTCGCTCTCTCTCGCTCTCTCTCTCGCTTTCTCTCTCGTGCATTTGGTCTATAGCTATTATCCTGAGAGGATTTTAATGTTTTGGCCAATGCACATTTAATCCAAGTTAAGTTTTACAAAACAAAACCTGGAGTGTATTTATATGAATAGGAAGTAATGCTTCACAGAAGCCCACATGGCATCGTGCGTAGGTGAAGAATCACCTTGTCTGCTGGATTATGTTATCACTGACTTCCAAGTTATCATTGTTCGGCAGCAGCTATTGCCAGGAATAGTAAGTCACATCCCATGTTTTTGTAAGAAATAGTATTATGGCTTTTCCAAAGAACTCGTTTTTAACAGAAACACGAGTCATCCCCCGCACTATATATAGGAAGCGTATAGATTTGTTTATATTATTTATTATTGGCAATTTTAATTTGATTTCAAACTATTTATTGAATGCTCACTGTGTGCAAATGGATAAGCCCAAATACCTATCTTCAAATAGCCTAAAATCCATTTGAAAAAACAAACAAATAAACAAAAAACACATCCACCACTATCTAGAGTTCAAAGCCAATGTCGTTTGTGTTAAGGATAGATAACAAATCGCTTGGATGGGAGTGAGGAAGGGCACAACTAAGTTGAGACTAGTGATGGAGGAGAAAGAAAACTTTGTAAAGAAGGGGCGTTTGAGCTGGGTGTTGACGGCTGTGCAGGTTGTGTTTTGTTTTGTTTTAGGAGATAAGATAGGGAAAGCATTTGATGCTGGGGAAATAGCATGAGTACTAGAATCACGAAAATAAATGCCAGTTTGGGGAAGTGGGAAGTAATTAGGCATTGCTGTTGATCAGTGCTTCTTAATTCTGGCTGCACATTGGAATCACCTAGGGAGCTTTAAAAATACTAGTGCCTGAGTTTTACCACCCCTAACACCCAGAGACCCTGATTTAGCTGGTCTTTGTTATGGCTTATGCTTTGAGATTTTTAAAAGGTCCCCAAATATTCTAACATGCAGCCAAGGTTGAGAACCTCTGATGTAGAGTAATATATTTAGCATGGTGCTGTGAGGCAGAAAAAAATAAAGAGAAAAACTATTTTTCTTGGGCTGAAATATCCTTGTGCTACAATTCTTACAAAAGAACACAGAGAATTTAAAGGAATATACCAATTAAGTCTATGTGAAAAGAGTAAGGGTTAGGGAGTCTAATTTACATTTACAAATGAAGAAGAAATGAGATAGTAAAAAGAGGCTTGCAACTGCAGTAATGCAATCAGTCTCTAGGACGCACCTAGAGAACAGACAGGGTTTGAGGTTAAACAGAGAGGAATTTGACTGAAGGAGTAAGGGAACGTCAATGAAAAAAACGAATCAGTACTTTGGTTTCTAATGGTTGTCTTTGGCTTGAATTTTGAATGTATGAAGTCATCACCTAAAACTTCTCCTTTTCCCCCTTTCTTTCCATCAATGACAAATGTGTATATAGGATAGAATAAATGCAAAGGGAAGTGAATTGACTCAGGTAGGAGGGCTTTTTTCAGAGTAGATGGATGGGAAGGACACAGCCACTGTGATGTCCTTTCTTACCCCATTACTCTCCCTGGCTCAAGACTTCCTGGCATCTTGAATGATTTTTGCCTCCTCACCAAGCAAGTCCCATTAATTCTGCCACAATGTCTCCCACATTCTGTCAGATGATGACCTTCTTTACGAAACACAATCAAGCTTCCTCATCCAAAAGTTGGATAAATAAAACTCCCCAGAGGAGAACCTTCTTTTCTTAAAAGATAAATACCTTTCAAGCAAGTATTTCTTAACTTTTTTGACTGGTCTAGCCCTCAAACATGCTTCAGATCCATTAATTTATGCCATATTCTCCCTTTCCCCTACCATATACAATTCATTACCCTTGACTATGATCTGTGTAAGGGTCTAGACAATCATTATTGTTTTATTCTCAGTACCCAGAACAGTGCTAGATATATATTCATTGTGTTGATTGAAAAACTTACTCTGTATGCTTCTCTGCCAGAGTTCCCATTTCACTTCCGTTGCTGCCCGTCTTTTCAAAATGTGACCTCTGGGTAACGCTTTGACCTCTAGGCCTCAGGATCTTGTTTCCATAGACCTGTAGCAGCTGAATAAAGGTAAAACCTTTTTAATGCTTAATTTTTATTAACTTTCTGTCTTTCTACATTCTAGAGTATCCTCCCGCTTTATTCTGGTTCCCAAAATCAAAGAAAGATTTAGTTTATAGTATTTCCTTTTCTGTAGTACATCCTGAGCTCTAACAAGTGAGCTGGCCTTTGCAGAAGTTATATCAATATCAGCTAATTGATCTACCTCTGAAACATTTCATGATGGACCATCACTCAAGGGGACCATCATACTTCCACACCACTTCTTGGAAGTGGTTTTGCCAATTACAATAAAATAATACATTAACTGTGATACAGAAAGAATGAGCATGCATCTAGCTTTTCTATTCTCATTGTTTCTCTCCAGATCCTACTCAATACCTCTTTTCTAAAATGATAATATCCTAATTATTCTACTTACTAGTTTATCATGTCTTCCTTCTCCATTTCCTTAAAATGTAACTGCTAGATAAATTTTTCTTAAACGTAGTTGTATTAGTCATTTTCTGACTCAAAATTTTTCATTGGCTCTCTATTCCAACTCAAGTATGTCCATCTGACTTGGGTATTCATAGTGCTTCACACTCCAGCTCAACTTTTCCTTCCAGACTCTTACCCCACTCACCTCTCCTACATAATGCTCAGCCAAATGTGCCTAGTTGGTACTTTTCACACAGCACATTCCTTGTCCCCTTGGCTTTGTTCTTGCTAATTCTTTCTAACGAATTGTCTGCATTCTCAACAAGAACATTTACCCATCCTCAAGGGTTTAGAATCACCTAGTTCATGAAACATTCCCAATTTCAGCAAATGAATATGGCTTCTCCCTTTCTCTAATCTCTTCATTGAGTTGCCTTTCTGTTTCTCTCAGGTCCCTCGATCTGGCTTGTTTTATAAATATCTATAAGTATCCTGCACTATTTCCTGGATGATAAAGGTCTTCAGGCTCCGGCAATGTGGACTGAACACAGTAGGTGTGTCGCAAGTATTTGAGACATGTTTCATTAAAATATAATGAAAGATTAGGATGAGAGGAATGAGATATATTCTATTATATCTGAAATATTAAAAAGGAGGCCTAATGGGCGGCACAGGAATTATCTGCCTAATATTTAAGGGCTTTTATCTCTATAATTTTGATCTCTAAACTCTCTATATTTGTTCCTCGCACCAGCCATCACCTTCCTTTTTCCATATACTCACTCATGTACACACACACACGGGTATAGATGAGACTTTTGTTTATCATGAAAGATAAGCAAGGTTAAATTCACTATGATTATTCTGGTATGAGCAAAAGAAATCTAACATCATTTAGATAAAAAGAATATTTAGTGAGGAAGAAAAAAATCATTGATATTTCTGTATAGTAAACAATTTTAATCCTTTTACTATGGCACAAAATTTTGTGCAGAGAAAATAGAAAAATATGGTTATATATTTAAGAAGAAAAAAATGTGTTCCAGCTATACCTGATAGAATGTGAAATAAAAAGTAATCTAGATGAGAGAGAGAGAGACCGAGAGACAGAGAGACAGAGAGAGAGAGAGAGAAAGAGAAAGAGAAATCTTAAACAGCTTCTGTCTAGTACACAGCAAAACTATGGACATTTGAACATTTAGTGACATCTGGACAAAAAAGAGTAAGTAGGAAAAACAATCTGTTTTTTTGTGACACATTTTTGAGATAGATCCAAGGAGCAACTTTTAGGGACAAAATAGCAAAGGAGTGTTTTGTATTGGAAGGAATATTTTATTTTTCCTTTCTCAGGGCTGCATCTCAGTAACTACTTCCCCCCTGTAATTGCTGGTGCCTAACTCAGAAACACTCCTGCAGTTGAGTGACACAGCTCTTCTGGAAGCTTCTCCTTGACAACTAACAGTGCCACTGCTGGTTTTGTTGCTTTTAATGAGAATCCTAGGAAAAACTGGGTGTCTTTGATATGTAATGTTAGCAACTAAAAATGCCATTTCTAATATCTTCTGTAGTAAACAATGAAAGAGCTAAAGGAGCTTCTTTTAAATGATCTCAAGTAAGTCAAAGATTCTCCTTTCCAGCTTTTTGTTATTGATTTTCATTGTGATAAAAATGAAAAGTGAACTAAATACTGAATTCACTATAAAAACTGAAAGTTTCTCATGCGAGAACCTGATATTAAGTTGACAAATGAAACCAGGAGAGAATGAAGCGTTCTCTCTATATCAAGATTGAATTTCTATGGTGATTTTACTTTTTAAATCAATAGCACATTAGCATATATACATATATATGTTGATATATCTCTGTGTGTGTATATATATACACACACATTTTTAAACTGTATCTTCTCCTTACCAGTGCTCCTCTGACTGCCTTGATTCAAGCCCTTGAATGGGGAGATTACTGCCACGGCCTCATCTTCCTCAGATCCACCCCCCACTCTGCCAATGTACTGTTGAGACATCTGTAATGGGAGTTTCTTGCATCCCCAACTAGGCGGTGACTCTGTAAGGCCAATTTGCTACGCCTTTTTTGTCTATCAAAATTCTCTGGGATAAGACCATTAACTGAGAAAGTTTTGATTATGTGTTTGTCAAAATAAGATCTATTCTAAATTGCTGAAAAGTAACATATATTTTATATAACACCCTCCCTTCCCCCCTCCACTCCTCTTTTAAACTACCCCATTTCTGTACTCAGTTCAAAAGTAAACAGTACTTTTGTTATTTGATTGATTTTTTTTAACCATCTAGAAGGAATATATTTAACATGTTTCTACAGGTCACAAGACTGAGAACAAATCACTGTTTAGGTGACTGTTTACTCATACACGGCAGGTATCTCTGAGCTCATTAGCAGAACCAATCTGATTAGGTCATTTCAGTGTTACTTTCTATTAAATTGATCAGTATAAGCCACACGCTATGGGGAGTAGTGATCAGAAAAATTGATTCTTGTGAGTCTCTGGTGAAGAATAGGCCAACCTCTTCAGTATATAATGTTACCTTAGGAATGTTTTGGAAGTTTGTTCTGTGGCTAAGTCTGCAGTCACAGTCCACGGCCTAGAGAAGAAATCACACACTCGGAGACTGTGCTCCAGGAAGTATTATTGATGGTGATGAAAATGTGCTCAGAGGGCAATAAATCAGGGGCCATTTGACCCATTTCATGAACTGCATTCCATGTTAGATTTTTAGAGTAAATACTCTTCAGTTTGTGTTCACCATCTTTTCCCATTCTCCAGGATACATTCACATGTATGAACACACACACACACACACACACACACACACTCTCACACACACACACTCCAGCCAGATTTAGGAAGGAAATAACCCAGCCAGGAGAGATGGATACAGTGAAAACAGATTTTATTTTAATAAAATACCTGCAACTTTCAGACAGAAATCATGCCAAGGAAAGCAGATGCTGTTTGATTGGGTGAGGCTACCATTAATTACTAAGAAAAACATTGTTGGCATTTTGAACACAAGATATTATTATAATTAGACTAGTTGCTTAATTTGTAAGGAAATAAAACTATAATTCTTAACAATGAGTTTCGGTTAACAGGAGAAGAAGCTATGCTCCCACATTCAGTTAAGAAGATAAGTAAGGATTCATATTTATTAAGTTCTCTCTTGTAAGTTCTTCTTTTTAGGTTCTAGGTTGCTTGAAGGCAGACATGAAAGTATCTATAGCTACAGCTCTGACACTGGTCAAAATTCTGTACCCCATGTAAGTGGTCTTGTCTAAGCTGAGGCATTTTTTATAGGAAAAAAAGTATAAACCTGGCTTAAATATTGTTTTTATTTAAAGCACAATCTCTTTTGGAGTGGATCTATTTCAAAAGAGTTTTATCAAAGTATTGAAAAGAACTTCCTTTAAGGCTGTCTTACTTTTCTTTGACATGACATAGTTATGGGGAGCCTTCGATGAACTGGGCACGCAGCAGCTGTGGGGGTAGGAAAAAATGGAGGATTGGGGCTGGCATGGAAAGGGGGGCATGGAAAGCAGCCAGATGCTAAGTTTTAGGTACCTCTTATATCCCAGGCACCAGAAGAGAGGGACTTTTTTATGCTTTATTTCATTTCATTTAATCCTCACCAGAAGCTTATAATGGAAATTATACTGTTTTCTTTTATATGTGAAGAAACAGAGTCTTCTGGAGACTTAGAGATTTCTTTACACATGCCATGCATGACAGAGGCAGGGTTCAAATACAGGTACTTTGAAGGCGTGCTCTTCCTTTCATCCTACAACACATGGTATTATCCTACAACACATCCTACAACAGCAGACTTAGGAGTCTCTCTCTGTACTGGGGTTTTCCTCAGCTCTGACTCTTAGTGTATGGCATTGAGCAAGTAATTTAACCTCTAAGGTTTCTCTCTTCAGCCCTCGACACAGATAAGAATGCCTTCTCTGTGTTCATTGTAGGAGTGTGGTGATGACCCAAAATAACACATATCAGAAATCACTTTGTAAATTACAAAGTGCAAAATAGTATAAAGGATTATTATAGCCACAGCCCTTGGCCCACACCTGAAGGATGGGATATCAAGAAAGAATAAAATAATTTGAGAGACACTGGTGTCGTGGTCTATGAATTTACATTCACAATTGCATAAAGATTTCTTTGCTGCAAGAATCTATTAATTACAGCTGCTGATCTTTAGTGAGGGGCTTATACACAATTATTCCATAAATCAAATAAGCAAGTTGTTGACAAATGACATCTGCAATCTTTGAGCTGACAGCAAAATATATTATGCTCCATAAATAACTCAGACCAACTTTTATTTTCTAGACATTTTGGTGCTGGTACCCAGGAACAGATTGTAACTAAGGGAAATACTTGTGCTTGCTGGTGATAGCAGAAGGTGTCCAGCACTCTCAGCAAGACAGAGGCCATCTCTTCAAATTCTGACCTCAAGTTAGCAGGCTCATTTGACAAGTTAAGACAAACATGGGATAATTGATACTTCATTGAAATCATTTTGTCAGGACTAGCTAACTTACTTTGTTCTGAGAATGGAGGATTGGGGCATGGAGAGGGGGTCATGGAAAGCACCCAGACGCTAAGTTTTAGGTATCTCTTATATCCCAGGCACCAGGAGAGAGGGACTTTTTTATACTTTATTTCATTTCATTTAATCCTCACCAGAAGCTTATAATGGAAATTATACTCTGATATAATTTCTGGTTCCTGAATAATGTAGTATTTTACTGATCTTATGTGAACCTGATTCCTTTTTCTCCTAACAGCACCTAGAATAGTGCCTGGCACAAAATAGGTACTCAAAAAATGTCTACCTCAGGCTCCAAACTTAAACTGTTTATCTTCAGTTTCCTCAGCACTATTGATTGATTGCTTCTCCTCTTGAAACTTTGCTTGACCTTCAGTGCGCAGACCCTGCTATATACATCTGGAGTGAGCTTCAGCCTAGGGTCTTGGTTCCAGTCAGCTCACAACTGACAAGTTATAGTTTTGTGCATGTTTCTGGCTCTCTACTGCTCTCTGCCCTCACTTGGGAGCACTGTCTTACCCAGGGAGAAGGATGACCCTTGCGTAGTAATCGTGATTGGTTGAGATTGACAGAATACGGTCACTCTGGGTGGCTTGATTTAATGTATTTTAACATCAGTCACAGAATGTCTTTTTCTACTTCTCAACAAGGTCAGAACTTCTTAACAGGAAAATTTGGAATGTAATCTATTCTTGACCTAGAGAGGTGTAATTTTCAGGTATTTAATTTGGTAAATTATCTGTGTATTGGTAAATTCTAAAATATCTGTCTTTTGCCATTCTATTATCTTTTGGCTCTTTTCTCTTTACATGTTACAATGTCAATTAAAACAGAAATGTTAATTTATTAGAACCTTTAAATGTTTCTCTGAAAACGTTTAATTTTATATCTGTATATCAATGCATATCATCAAAATATCATCACAATTTATCATGACATATGTACCGTATTTCATTGATTTTAACATGCGTACCTTTTTTACATGTTAATATCTCTGAAACTGGTTGCATCTTAAAATAGAAGGCATCTTAGTACTGTTTAATTATTTAACAGATAGTATTTTTTTTTCCTTAGGACTATATAAAATAATGGCATATCAGGCAACCAATGATGTCTTAGAATTGACAAAAAGTAATTTAAAGCTAATCGTAGCTAAAAAATTTAATTCACATTTGTTAGATACTATATAGTGTCTGGTAAAATCTCATACCTTCCTCCTTTTGCTGTGCTTCTATTATATCACATAAGCTGCAATGCTTAAAATTTCCCCAGACTTCAATGTAGCTAGAGTTGTGGCTGAGAATTGGGTTTTGCTAAATAGATGAGTACACAAATCTTAGAAGATGAAAACAAGACAAAGGGTTCTTTTTGAGTGTATACTTCTGGCAAACAAGGTCTAGAAGACAATATATTCCTTTGAAAAAGCATTCCAGTGGCCTTTTCTCAGCTTCCTGGGTCCCAGAGGCAGCTGTGGAAATGGCAGCAGTAACTTCAGTGGGTTCCTGATTCCAGCTTCCTGGGCTCTGGATCACTGCCCTGCAGTGTGCTCCCAAGCTTTATATTTCGAGTGGTGGGATCAGAGTTTCCCTGGTAAGTAAGTTTTGTGTTGTTCTGGGAGCAATTTCTGGAGGCTCAGCTTAGAATGCATTCTTTTCGCCCTTCCAACAATTGTGTAAATTCCGTGTATGTACTGGATAACTCTCTGCTTAAAATATCTGGAATAGTTTTGGGGTGACTGACAGTTACATCAAATTATAAAATTGCATTCTAAAATAAATAAAGCCGTCAAAGAATTAGGAGGCCCTTTACTCATTTTCTTTAAATCAAACTTAGCAATTTAAAAATATTTTTAGCTAGTTTTTTGATACACAAGCACCAGGGTTTGTCATCATACTTGAAGTAAACAATTCAATGCAAATGATTTCCTTTAGATAAACGATAGCACTTAATATTTCTATAACCTCATAACTTGACTCTAGAACATTATTGTTTCAATAACATCCTCAATTTCTTTATCTAAGGCAGAGGAGCATGAGCAAACAAGTAGGTGCATATGTAATAAATCATTGTTAAATTATGAGAAAAGAATCACACAAAATAATTTCACATTTATCTCAATTGTCACTTGAAGAAATAAAAACCCACTAGTGAACCAACTGTCTGACCTTAAATAAGTCATTTTATTTTATTCTGACTCAGACTTTCTTTTTATAAATGTGGAGAATAAGACCTGTTACTTGCCTGGAGTTCAAGAATATTGTCAAGAAGAATATTAGATAATGTCTTTGCATGTACTTGAGAAAAAACTTGTAAGTTTTGGATATTATTAAAGCTGGATTGTGTACCCTTAGTATTATTCTTATTGCTAAGACTTCATAGTGATCAAAATTGATATTAAATATATATATATGTATATATATATTATATATGATTGATCTAATTAGAAAAACACATCTCTTTCAAAATTGGCTCTCTGT